GCCCTGCTTGCTTGTTTAATTGCTTCTGATTACCTTTCAGCAAGTGGGATGCCACTGCACTACTATAACCGAGTTGTTTGAATTATGTAAATATTATAGTGTGTGCGTATTGCCTCCTGTGGTTTTTGTTGTCATCGTATTGTAAAGTTAATAGAACTTGAACAGTAAAGTAACCCTGATTTGGGACGTACGACCATTTGAAGTTGCTTCTCATGTTTATATGGGATTAAATCAGCTGCTGCGGTAACGGTATTAATCCTCGTTGAAAGCATGTCTGCCTCATCGAGATGTGTCCGAACTTCATGTTGTGCTTCAACGCATTTGGGAAACTGGATGGTTCCAATGAGAGAGAAATTCTGGAGTGATTTTCATTCATTTTTGGGTGGTTTCGTCAAATCAAGCTGGACGCCGGTTTCCTCATAGTTATGCATAATCACTTTCTAAATGTACTCTCTACGTACAGTGATTTGTTATATTTGACGAAGAATATTGTGCGTATTCTGATGAGAAGTATTTGTTGTTTACTGTTCATTTGTTGTTTACTGTAGCTTATTAAAATATGCGACGAATCGGAAAGTTTTCTAAGCACGGTGGTCCTCAATAAGTGTCCATTTTCAGGTAGGCTGTGCCAATTTACTTTCAAGGTACTTCGGAAGCAGTGCTGTTTAGTTTTATGACATTTCAGACAGTCATTATTTCATATAACATTATTCTATCATTTTTCTTGTGTAATGGTCAATCGTTGGCCATTTTTCAGTGGTCGTTTCGCACTAGTAAAAGCATATGAGAAAGAAGTCTATGCTTCTGTACAGAAAAGAGTCAAATAAAAATGTCAGTGGAATATAGTCTTGAACGATTGTATAGTGAAATGCTACCGTACTCCGCTACATTCAGGTATTCCTACTTAAATCTTCAACCAGGGGCACGATGTTATACAGCTTGACACGGTATTTAGAGTACCTTAAGAGTACATTAGAGTACCTTTAGAGTACATTAAGCAGCTACAAGCAAGATATCGTAGTCTTAAGTCAAGTAAATTCGATGTCAGAAACTGGCATGTTATGATTGCCGATAGAATTGGAAAGCTACAGTTGGCTGCCCAAGAACATCATGGTTTTCTTTTATCCTCAAATGCTTTTACTTTAACAAGTTACATAGGACACCGAATTCAGTAAACGTGATAATATGATTGTATATAATCAAGACTGTAAGAACGCATTTAGATTATTATACTTTGAATTATGTGCTGCATTTTGAAGGTTTGTTAAATGTGAATATTGTAGAGCCGTGAAATGCTGTCTGAAAAAGTCACCACTTTACACAAACTTCTTCTGGAGGAATGGAAGAAGAAGGTGAAAAATTTAGATCTTGTAGAAGATCTGTTGAGTCAGCTGAAGGTATATCTTACGATTTATGTACTTATGTGGTTATTTTGACGTTGATGCATCTCAGTAGCATTTACTGATATCTGTTATAAGGTTTTTCCAGCGCGACAGTTAAACATTTGTAGTACACGTCCCCATACCGCTTGCTCTATGCGGATGACATTGTGCTTTGCAACGAAATCAGGGCGACAGTACCAAATAAAATCAACGCATGGAGAACAGCCTTTAAGAAGAACGGCCTTCGACTCATCAAGGGCAAGTGAAAATACATGGAAGGCTAATTCGATTAGGAAAGCAGATGGAAGGCCGTCAAACCAGTGAATATATCGGGGAGCTTCTGCCTCAAACCCAAAAATTCAACTATCATGGTTCTATCCTTCAAGATAATGCAGAAATCGTTAGCGAGGTAAGAAATCAGTCGAAAAAGGCGTGGCTTGAATGGAAGGAAGTACTGCGCGACAGGAAGATACCTTTCAAACCGAAAGGGAAGGTGTACAGAAAGATAGTAAGACCGCTGCTTATGTACGGAGCGGAATGTTTGGTTACCTCAAGGGATACGAGCAACAGCTGCACTCGGTGGAAGTGCGAATGCTCATATGGACGTGTAGTGTCAGTAAAATGGACTGCGTCCGAAACAGCTTCATAAGAGGCACTCGATACGTAGCACTATATTCAGAGAAGCTTATCAAAAGCAGATTCGGTTTGTTCGGTCACATAAAAAGAAGATACGTTGAAAGAGTTTAGCAGACCCCTGTAAAATGGAACACGCTAGAAAAAGAAGGCTGTTCCAATCTAGTTTGTGTTAGTCATGAAACTTTTGCCGTTTTCGTTTGCGCGTTGTTCACGAGGCCATATTTTAACCAATAATGTCTAAATGATGAGTAGTCTTGTACATTCAGCGGAATTTATAAACTAGTAAACTTTAGTTCCTAGTTAGTGTTATGATTTTGCCGAAATTGGTGGAAGTTTAAACAGTGAGGAATGTCGACTAAGAACTTAGAAAGATAGCGGATGGATAGCATCTGGAACTGAACTTAACTTTGCATAACAGTAATGCAAATAGGCTAGTAGAAATCGTATGAAATTCAGAAATCGGTGTTTTATTAAATGTATTGTATAATTGAGAATTTTGAACAATTGAGCTTAAATGTGCAGTGGCAGCTTCGACTATGGATTTTGATTGATTCTGCATTGTGCCGTATACACGACGCTTGACGTGGATATGGATTTGCTCACGAGCGATGCACAACAGAGTATAATCAGCGAAACGACTCTACTGAGAGCGTCAGTGATCGCCACCGAAATATTCAGTATTCTACACCAAAATAGCCATATTTTACCAAAATTGATTTGTTACGAAAAGACCAGTCACTGGAAAAGTAGACAGTTTGTTCCCAGTCTGTCACCTGATAACGTTTCTCCCTGCGATAACTTTCTATGTAAAGGCAAATTGAATCTCCCTTGCAACCTGTCTGACGTTAAGTTTTATTTAAACGACTGAGACAGGAAATGATGACCATGGTGATAAAAAGGTAGATGAAGGTGACGATGAAAATAAACCAAACAAAAAGAGACGCAACGATAGAACCTTCCTTTTTTTTATCGATATCATGTCTGATTGGATGCAAAACTGTTGTTTTATAGTTTTCAGCATATTGAGAGTATGAATAATTCTGAAATCGCTTCTTTGAGCTAGAATATCTGCTTAGTTGCCAATTGGTGCAGAGCAGTTGCCGACAGCGTTCCTTAAACTTGTGTTCATCCATCGAGATTCTTAAACTTTTCGGTTTGTGCCAATATTAGGTGATGTAAACCATTATCAAAACTAGTTGTGATCTAAATCACTGCGCCATTTGATTTGTCGTTTATTCCTGCCTGCTTGTTTCCAGGTTGAAACCATATCCATGTCGTACTTGCCAATAAACGAAGATGAACAGACTGACGTGCAGCTTTTGCTCTTGCATCGTAAGATTTTTCTCTTAACATGATTTTGGCTGAGCCATAAATTGACTATGCTTCGTCAATCGACCCATCAAGAAAAAGCTAATGTCTTTTGCGATTGACTCATTCTGATTCTTTGTATTGGCTACTGCATGATGTTATGAAGTGTGAATCAGGAAGTAGAAAGTTGCTGACAATATTTACTTATGGAGCGATCTCAACTCCACAAATTTCTCCTATACCCTGAATTTATATAAAGATAGTCTTCTTCAGCGAATATCCTATGACATTGCAGATTTCATTCCATCAGCGGAAGATTCATTCATAGTTCGGTGACTGACTGAGGGTTTCGTAGTCCACCCGATGAAACTTGAAAATCGTCACGATTCATGAGTTAAAATTACTATGAGGGAAGAAAGGAGAAAGGAAACAGAAAGTTTGTATCCGTTGGAATATCGCTTTCCCTCACACTTTCATGATTGGTCTATCCCTGGCGCACTTGTTTTCATCTAGTAGATGGTACTATGCTGATCTCTATTTCGATGTCATCACCCAGTAACGCCTTATTTTTTTAAAGGCATTTAGCAGCGACCTTGACAACAGTGATGTAGCAAGCGTAGTGTATAGTCTCCTATTTTCTTTCCACAGAGTGGTCATTTGTCGGCCTTTAAATAAAGTCAAGTGATCTGACCGGTCCTCGAAGCCGGTTCTGAGTTCTACACTCTACTGACTGATAGACTTCTGTTTCAAGTTGAAGAATACAGCTAGGTGTATGCAGCCTCGCTTATTCATGACTGTTTTGTTTTAGTCAGGCCATGGTTTCAAGCTATATCGATTTATCATTGTCTGTTATAAATTAAGATATCAGTTCAGCTCGGTCAAATATCATTAATCTTATGAATCCACTCTTTCAATTATGTTGACTTCAGTCATAACTCTATGAATCATTGCGCGCAAGCGTGATTACAGGCTACACCCTCTGCGAGAAACTGCTTGTGCATCGAGACGTTAGCTCAAGGTGTTACGACATCTCGCTCCACACATTTCGTCATAGTATATGGATTCATTGTTTTGTTTTTGTGTTTTGATGCCTTTTTATTTACGGCTTTGGCAAAGGACCGCTGTAAGATAGTTGCCTGTCCACTCTTTAGTACAAAAGTAAACCGATCACATGACTGTTTTCGAATAAATTATATGATTTTAATTTACACCCTCTCCCTTCATTGTCATCAAAAAGTTCATTATGGTGATGCGGATGAGCATTTCTAGTCGGTAAGAAAGATGAGGATGACTTTTATTATCTTTGTGATTATAGTAGGGTGATGCTGTAAAGGTCAACTGGTCATTGATTGAGACTGGTTAACGCGCAAAATCATTATCAGGATGTAACTTGTCAGGTCCCTGCAAAGATTTGCAGTAGCTGATTCTGTTTATGAAATACTGCTGTCACAGAACGCCTCCACTAATTTATCGTTGTGACTCTGAAACCGTAATATTTGGGTCCCCCACAACTCCATCTGGTGAAGGGATGATCCACGCAATATTAAAAATTTCTTACATTAGTGATTCCTTTTTCATTAGTAAATTAATCAAAAGGAAGTTATAACAGCATTTTTGCTTAATTTCTGGTTCTTGTCGGATTGATATGAACTCAAAGCACATGTTGCAGGTGATATGTTTGAAATAAGCGCGATGCTGTCAGTGTTGAAGAAGGATCTCCATGCCTTTCAAAGAGCCTTGGCACAGCTGAAGCATTACTATATGGAAGTCACGTGAATATGCCGTTGTGATTACAGATGATGTTTTGGTTGTTACTTATTTTAAACTTGTAGAAAATTGAATCACTTCATCGGCGAATCAACCATGAAATTCCACATGCTTGGTCTGTATCTCATGTTTCTTCTGGCACAGAACAGAATCGCAGAATTTCATATGGTGAGCGTGTTCGTCGCATCTTGTTCATGTATCGAATGTGTCACTGAAAAGCTGCATCTATTTGAATTGTATTCGGCTGCTCCGTTGAGAGAATGTCCTTCGGTGTGTTGAGCAGAACAAAAGCAAAATCTGTTGCAGGACAACTCTTGGAGATTAGCGGCCCCGTTTCGTGACGCGGAGTGCACAAGAGTTCCTTGGGTTGTATTTTCCTTTACCTGCCTTTCATTGTCATTTTTGGTTTCTATGCTGTTTTATGAAGCTCAGCCTTTACGGTTTTTAAGATTTACCTCTGTAATCTCTGTGTTATTCAATGAAACAACGCGGAGAGCTGGAGGAACCATGGCAGCATTCTCTCGCTCTCCTTTCCCACCCACCCATAATATGGCAACCACAGTTATTTCTAATTATTGGTGATCATCATATGAATGAAAAAATGCAACTTATCAGCTCTTACTGATTTGTTCATATTTACTTTTTGGGGATCAGTGAATGCCATGTGTTGTTCAGAGGGTGGCGTCATAAGAAAATTTTGCCTTCTTCGAGGTTTTCTGGATCTTCTTGATGTGGATGGCGTCGATTTCTCTAAATTTCAGATTTCCACCGTCTAGGGTCATGTGGATCTCACCGTAGATCTAGTGACTGGAATTCTTATCCTCTTTGCTGAATATCGAGGACAAGACCAAAGTGTTTCACCAGTAATTTCTCTGCACCGACTCAACTTGTAATCAGAATATCCTTTTGCTTGACAGATTAATATTGAAGGCATATAAAAAATTTTCCGCGTTGTTGTTTGCTTCGTTGTGTGAATGTTGCAGCTGGGCATCTGCGACGGTCATAGTGATCACTTAAACAACGTTTATTTAGCTTAACCCTTACATTTAATTCTATCACTGATTGCAGTCTACCCTCGCTGACGTTGGCTTCGATCTTAGCTTTCTGAAAAGCCTTTGGCTACTACAGTTGGTATAAAATTATTGTGTTATTACTTCTTCTTCCTCTGAATTCCATTTGACAAGGGTCTTTGTATGAGTCAATTGCTTCTACCTTTTTCGATCTTTGATTATATCTTCGGTCACTCCTGGCAGCTTTTTTAATCATTCTTTATGACATGGGCTTTCCAGGCAGTATCAGTGCCTGGATCAAATTTCCAACATGCTCATTTGGTCTTCTTTTCGCATGGCTGAACCAACAGAGCCTGCCTTCGATAAGCTTTTCTGAAATTGCTGCTCTGCCTAAAGTGCCTCTTATGAAGATGATGTGGATTCGGTACATTTTGCTGGCGCAACATATCCATCTCAGTATTTGCATTGCTACGGAGTACAACTGTTACTG